GTGCTGGTATGCATTGCATACATATGTGTTTTTCTATGTGCCCTGTTCCCACCACAGTGCTATACTGAGGATGGTTGTGGTGTGTTGCAAAATCTGCAGGAATTTTTTCACAGTGCAACACATTGCACTGCATATCACCATGCTACAGGGCATGTCCTAGAATAAAGTGTTATTTTTTTGGTACTTACATAAAGTAAATAGAAAAGGGTAAATTAAGAACACTATTTAAAGAAGATATTTTAACCACTTGCCCTCTGGAAGATTTACCCCCTTTCCTGTCCAGGCCCTTTTTTGTGATATGGTGCTGCATTACTGTAACTGACAATTGTGCGGTCATGCAATGCTGTACATAAATTCAATTTATGTAAATTTTTCCCACAAATAGACCTTCCTTTCAGTGGTATTTGATCACCTCTGCATTTTTTATTTGTTGCACTATAAACAAAAAAAGACTGACAATTTTGGAAAAAAAAAACAATATTTTTACTTTTTGCTATAAAACATGTCCAATAAAAAATTAAAAAATAAAATTGTGTGTATTAATTGGTACATGTGAAAGTTATAGCGTCTACAAATGCAGTATATATACTGGAATTTGTTGTTTTTTTTAATATTAGCAATCGCGGTGATCAGCAACTTATAGTGGGACTGTGGCGGGCATTCAGATACTGGGTGGGAACTGACTAACTGCCACTGACATCTCCAGTGATAATAATATAGTGATCAGTGCTAATAAAAAGCACTAACACTGTACTAATGACAATGGACAGGAAGGGGTTAACATCTGGGGCGATCAAGAGGTTACCTGTATGTTAGGGAGTGATTAGACTGTGTACTGTGTTGTGTTTTACTAAAAAAGTCCATGCTGACAGGAGAGAGACCTGTCTTGATTTCACAAATATCTCTCTCCATCTCAGCTTCACTGATGATCACCAAGTCCCGGTGCTGAATCGCCGGCCGGGATCCAGTGATTGACATCCCCAAGAGCCAATAGCAGTGTGGGTAGGTTGTATATTTTACGTGATTTTGCACAGCGTGGCTGCCCTGTAGCAGTACATCTGCTATGGAGTGGTCGGCAAGTGGTTAATCTGTATATACACTATTTGGTATCATGAGTCTGGGAAAGATGAAATATGCTAATAAGCAGTGCTCTGATTTTATGCCATCCTGTCCGATAACTAAATTGTAATATAGTCAGTAAATATTACTACCAAGGAAACTGACAAATTAAGGGAGCACTTTCATTAAAAAATATTGTATTCCGATAACTGCGCGCTCCCAGCACATGTTTCTACGTCTCATGGAAGGTCCCGATCTCTCCTTGCGATTGGGACCTTTAATGTGACTGTCGTGACAACCAATCACGGTGGTCACATGACCCTAAACCCCACCCTGCCTCCCAGCATCAGAAACCCCTTAAAAGGTTGGGAGGCACCGGAGCGAAGGGGTTAAAATCATATAGATGGGACTCTGCAGTATGCACTGTTTGTTGCAATAAAGTGTTTTTTAAGAGTGATATCATGGGTGTGCTGCCCACTTGTTTGACACAAGGTAATTTTTGCACTTACTGAATAGATAAAACATAATGGGCTCCATTCATTAAGGCAGATTGCATGTGGTATTTAGGTGTCTGGACATATTCTCCCTAAATATTGCATGTCGTTCTGCAGCATGTACTGCAAAACACACAAAATGCTTAGTAAATACTACATAAAAAGGTGTTAAAGTCAATTCACAGAACAAAATAAATACTTAAATGCATGTGATAATTAAGCAATGGTCCAGGCAGGCTCTGTATTTGGATCAGTTCTCTCAACAGTAATGCATAGAAATCTAAATATAGACATATGGAAATCATTGGGGTTGACTTTCTTAAAGTATATCTAAAGGAAAAACCTTATTTTTTAGTTTTGGATAGAGTGGGGGTGGATTAGAACACCTGTTATTGTTATCTATGCCCCGTTAGGGAGATTTACCCTCTATATTTGTCCTGTTTACCATTATCATTAAACGGGAAAGTAAAAGAAAATCCCAAATTTTGGGTTGTCCCAGAACAGTTATAGAGGGGAAACTTTCCAATGGGGATACTGGTTCTGGTGACCTGGGGGGCCTCAAGGGATTTCTTTAATTTGTAGGGATTTCCACTCACTTCAGCGATCTCCGTGATCGCTGTGTCCTACGGACACAGCTGATCACGTGATGTGGTGAAAGGCCGATCCCACCGGCCTTTTACCACGTGATCAGCGGTGTCCAATGACACGCTGATCACAGGGAAATGCAAGTGCCGGTTCTCGGCTGCACTTTCCTCACGCTGTCAGATCGTGAGGAAAGTACTGCCGAGAACCGGCAGTTGTCAGAGCGGGGATCGGCACCGATCATCAGGGCACTGATGATCAGTGCCCTGATGATCGGTGCCCAGCAGTGACACCCGCAAGTTCCGCCCAGCAGTGCGCCCACTAGCCCCGCCCACCCGTTCCCAGCAGTGCCCCCACCTGTGCCCAGCAGTGCCCCCACCTGTGCCCAGCAGTGCCCCCACCTGTGCCACTCTGCAGTGCCACCTACCTGTGCCCAGAAGTGCCACCCACATGTGCCCAGCAGTGCCACCCACCTGTGCCCACCCACCTGTGCCCACCAGTGCCACCCACCTGTGCCCACCAGTGCCACCCACCTGTGCCCACCCACCAGTGCTGCCCACCAGTGCCACCCACCAGTGCAGCCCAGCAGTGCTGCCAGTCAGTGCCACCAGTCAGTGCCCAGGGGTTGTGCCAGTCAGTGCCGCCAGTCAGTGCCCAGAAGTGATGCCAGTCAGTGCCGTCTATCAGTACCCATCATCAGTGTCACTATCAGTGCCGCCTATCAGTGCTGCATATCAGTGCCGCCTATCCGTGACCCCTAATTAGTGCTGTCTATCAGTGCCGCCTATCCGTGCCACCTCATTAGTACTGCCTATCAGTGCCCTTTAGTGCTGCCTATCAGTGCCCATCAGTGCCGCCTATCAGTGCCCATCAGTGCCGCCTCATCAACGCAAATCAGTGAAGGAGAAAAAATACCTGTTTGAAAAATTTTATAAAAGAAACAAATAAACTTTTTTTTTTTTTTTTTAATTTTTTGCACTTTTTTTAATTTATAGCGCAAAAAGTAAAGCGCCCAGTGGCAATTAAATACCACCAAAAGAAAGCTCTATTTGTGAGAAAAAAATGATCAAAATTTCATATGGGTACAATGTTGCATGACCGCGCAATTGTCAATCAAAGTGCGGCAGCGCTGAAAGCTGAAAATTGGCCTGGTAAGGAAGGGGGTATAAGTGCCTGGTAGGCAAGTGGTTAAACCACCCCATTACATGTAGCAAGATCTTAGACTATACGCCCCTTGAGGGTTAGGGACTGATGTGAATGTACAATATACATGTAAAACGCTGTGTAAATTGACAGTGCTATATAAGTACCTGTAATACATAAATACATTTTCTCTATTGCCCAATTTTCAGAGACGTTTTTTATAGTGTATAGTGTATACAAGCATATTCATCATTTGCTGCAAAAAAATTCCCAATCACTCCAAACATAATGCACTATACATGCATATCACAAAAGTCTAATCCCTTGTTAGAACATATGTCATATGTAGTGGGGGTACTTTACTTTTTCACAATTTTTTTTAGCAGTCTCTTTGCACTGACACCATTGATCTTTTTAGCTATTTATAAGGGGGTAATTCTTCCCAGTGACCACAAGTGTAAGGAGCATTCTTACCACTGACCATCACACTAACATATCATAAGTTGTAGATATAGTAATTTTTAGCAGGTGCTTCCTGAGATTGGAAAGTTATTTCAAGGGTCCCTCTGTGTTAAAATGGTTGAAAAATGCTTCTTGAAAATGTAATTAAAGGCACAACTTTCTTTTTCATTTTGGAGAGAGTAATGCAGAGTTAGAACCCCGGTTAATTTTGTTTTTCCATCTGTGTCTCATTGGGGAGATTTACCTTCACTTTCTGTCCCATTGCCAACACAGGAATTGAGAGGAAAACCCTGCAAATTAAGGGAATTCCTTGGGTCACCAGAACTAGTGTCCCCACTGGAAAATATCCCCTCTATTATTTTTTTTGGGAACAACCCAGAATGTTAGATTTTCTTTTAATTTCACTTTCAATGATCATGGTAAACAGAACAAATAGAGAGGGTGAATTTCCCTAATGGGGACAGACAGCAATAAAAACCTAATAGGTGTTCTAACACCTCTCTACCATATCCAATACTAAAAAAAATTAAGTTTTTCCTTAAGTTATACTTAGTATAAAAATAGTATAAAATAGTATAAAAAATAATCACACTTATATAAAAAACCCTTTTTCCACCAATACAAAATACAACATTGTAGAAGAAGGGTATTTATATGTATGTGCGGATTTTCATTAAATTTTTGACATTTATAATGTTATTTTGTATTTAACTTTGTTGTTTTTTCATACACTACTTGTGTCCTGTGAAAGCAGTTTCCTTTTGACTCATATTCCAGCCACCTTTTTACTTTTGTATCAAAGTGTTACTAAACCCACAAAAGTAAAATCAGTCTGTGTATGCAGTAAAGTATGCTTGTTATACTCACTGTGGAGCCTAAGGGATTATTCCTCCACATTGTGTAAAAAGGATGCTTGATCCTCTCTTCTCTGATCCTTCCCTTCTTCCAGTGTCTTCTAGATATCTCCTGATAGAACAGAGGCTAGGGGATAGATGCACATGCTCAGTTTGGTGTGTATTGCTACAGTTTTTTCTTTCTTGGGAGAGTACATGTGATCAGGAGAGGGCCAGTCAGCACTCTTCAGACAGAGGTCAGAGGTCCTGCATCCTGCTACAGAAGAATGAAAACTCCTCCTACAAGCTGTAACCAGTGCTCTGCTGAACACTGTTAGAAGTCACAAAGCTGCTCTAACTGCTGATGAGAAAAGGTATTTAGCAGTTTACATTTATTAAAATAGTTCCATTTCTATGTAGTGTGTACTGTGGGAGACCAGATATAGTGAATGCAGGGTCATGGGTTTAGTAGCACTTTACTACAAATGCTGCAGGTGCTGGGTTTAGTAGCACTTTACTACAAATGCTGCAGGAACCGCAGTAAGTTGGCATATTTCTATGACCTAAACCATTTTATCTCTTTATTAGCAATAAAAACTGACAGGGCTTCTAATTTTTCTCCACTGTATTAATCCCACTGGATATCGCATGAGATAGAATACTGCATGGTTTCATGAGAGAAATACAGCATATTTCGGAAAAATACCGCATGCAGTATTTTAGAAGCATTTTTTATGAATGCCAAAAAAAATTTGAAAAGCACTAAGCAGTATTTTAAAGCATTTTTTAAAGTGGTAGATACTGCTTCATGAATGGAGCCCAATGTATTAAATTATATAACAAGAGAACAACAGGGAGTAATAAGAGAAGTTTATTGTTAGTGGTTACATACACACTAATTGTATTTGAAAAAACAGTCTCCAATTTGATCCTTCAACATTTGTCATCAACACCTGCTACAGATTACAGAGTTTTAACCACTAAATTATATTGTTATTATATTGGATTGTGAAATCTTCTTTCTGACATACAGTATATAGGAAACATTTTTTACTGGAAGGGAGGACTTTACATGTAGAGATCTATACTTTGCAAAGAGCTTTTGCTGAAGGACATATTCTTGTAATGACCTCTACATACACACTGTCCAGTTCTTCATTGAAATACATGTAACAAAATGTAATTTTTAACTAAAAACAGTAATCCAAAACTCTGCACTTGAAAATTACCATGTTTTTGAAGAATGTTGTTATTCACATATGTACTTCTGTCTAGAAGAACAAAACGTTCCCACTTTTATAGACACCCTGCACTCAATTTACTTGTCTGTATAAGTCTGTATTACTTATTTTTTTCTTATTCTTTTTCACCTTTCTACTGTTAGTTCTAACTTCTGACTTTTGAAGACTCTGGGCCTAAGAACATATATGTTGTACGAAGGTTGTGTTTACAAAATGTCTCCTAACACACAAAGGCATATTCAAACAGCTTAAGGCTCCATACACACTGGCTTTAAAAAAAAAAGCTGCTCCTTGAGGAGTTTAGGATTTTGCCTGTAGAAGCAATTAATGTTATCCTAGGTGTCCATGCACATCAGGTAGTATAGAGGCGTTTAATTTCAGTTCAGTGTTTAGAGAGGAAGAAAAAACCCTTCTATTTTGCATTTTTGAGAGCATATTTCTGGCAGAAAAAATTGCTAAACTCTCCTAAATGCAGCTAAACACTCCTAAACGCTCCTCAACACTAGTACATAAAGCGGTCTAAATTAGCAATATTTATGTGCCAAGAGCACTGGTGATTTTTTAAGCTGGTGTACATGCAGCCAAAAATCAATTGTTTTAACCCACAGACCCAATTAGAATGCAAACTTCACTGAAATGTCCCAATAAGATGAAATGTGGGTGGTCCTTATAGATTCTTGCTGTTTGCACATTATGGATACCTCACATAGATTAAAAAAAGAATACAGTTCTAAAAATACAAAAAGTATGTGGAGGTTTCCAACGCAAATAAAAAATGAAAATAAAGTATGGTCAAAACTTAGGTTCATATACTGTAGTTGTATAGACAAGGAAAAGATAAATCTATGACACTTTCAAAGAGATGCTATTAAAAAAGCAGAGTACAATGATTTTCAATAACTGCAAAACATCTTTCTAGGAAGTTTTTTCTTTCAAAGGAGGAAGTGTAAAGTATATCACTTTAATAGGCTTCTTTAATTGCCAAATTTGCTGACATATTTGACTTTTGTAGAATAACCATTTCATTACAAGTCAATTTGACTTCTCACTTTGTATTGATGGATTATAGCTTAATGGGCACTGTTCTTTCTTAACATAACTTGTCTTACTGAAAACCAGGTGTATTCTCCAGGGAAATTATTTTCTATATCACCACAGAAACAACTGCAATAAAAATAAAGGGAAATTAGAAAAAAGACTAAAAGTGTAAGTTCCAGGGCTGGATTTACTAATGTAAAAAAATCATGTTCACTTTGCAAAGGAGTTTTTACTTAGCTTAGTGAATTTGAGGAACGCTAGTGAATGTGGGGGAGGTGTGCTGACCTCAATAATCCAATCATGTACAGTACAAGCAAAATATCTTTTTTTTTTTCATTTTCTCTGCATACGATTGAGTATTCTTTGGGAACTTCTTAACCACATTAACTAAATTAAGCAAAAATTTCCCTTTTACAATGAAAATTCCCTTGATGAATGAACTTCTTTATTCCTTTATTATGTCAACTCCACAGTCTTTAGAATTTTCTGCTAGAAAATGTTTTAATTAAGGACAAAACATACTCACAACAGAGGTAAAAGTTTATTTTGTAGAGTGAGCTTGGGTCGCTTACTTTTGAAAGAAGTCTGTTGGTTGTGTTCAGAATTTTTAGGCACTATTCTTCTGACAAAAATGTTGTGTAGCAAAACCCAGCTGATTGGCTTTACAGACATCATCAGACTTGCAGGCTTGCAGAATGCATGTGTCAGGGGAAAATACTGTATTTCAGTGGCTGAATAAATGTCTAGTATCTGACCCAGGTTTCATACTTGACTGGACTATCTTAGAGACAACAATAAATTAATAAAGAAAAATCTACACCTCCTGGTTTCCATGAGATTTTAACATTCTTCCTGCTCTGGCCTGCAATATCAGAAAGACTCCTCCCTGCTCCATAGTGCAGGCAGTGAGCCACTAAAGGATAAAGTGGAGTGCAGACCTCAGCACTTAGTAGAGCTAATACTATTATTATACAGTATTTATAAAGCGTCAATAGTTCGCTCAGCGCTGTACATTACAAAGGGGGACAGAACATGTGACAGAACAACAACAATACAATGCAAAACATGAGGGGATTGAGGGCCCTGCTCTTTCGAGCTTACATTCTAGGAGATGTATTACAGAGACCATCTGAGCCACGTGTTCTGTTTTTAAGAAACCTACTGAAGTAGTTATAATGTTACATAACTGCACTTTGGAAATTAAAATTTCAAAATTGTTACCTCTTTGACCATGTAAACAGAGGTGTAAAAAATGTGAAAAGTGAGCGCAAAAGGAAATATGGAAGCAGCTAGCACAATGTGGCAAACCCTGCACTTCCACTGTACAAACAAATAAATAAACAAAAGGTGCAGTGCTAATACAAGTGAAAAAATGTGAGCGTTATACAGTATTGCAGTGTACCAAAATTGTATGAATAATGACCAATAATGGAATGTGCAACATATTGCAAAATGTAAACAGAAATATATAAAATATAATTCACTATCAGACAATATTAACCACTAGCCTACTGGGCACTTATACCCCCTTCCTGCCCAGGCCAATTTTCAGCTTTCAGCACTGTCCCACTTTGAATGACAATTGCGCGGTTATGCAACATTGTACCCATATGAACTTTTTATCATTTTTTGAGACAGATAGAGATTTCTTTTGGTGGTATTTAATCACCTCTGGGTTTATTATTTTTGCTAAACAAACCAAAAACAACTAAAAATTTAAAAAAAAAATGTTTTTTCTTAGTTTCTGTTATATAATTTTGTAAATAAAAGTGATTTTCTCCTTCACTGATGTGCGCTAATGAGGCTGTAGTGATGGGCACTGATAGGCTTCACTGATGGGCACTGATAGGCGGCACTGATGAGGAGGCACTGGTATGTGGCACTGATGGGCATTGATAGGCATCACTGATGGGCACTGAAATTCAGCACTCATATATGGCACTGATAGGTGGCATTGAATAGTTGGCACTGACAGGCGGCACTGACTGGCGCTGTTAGATGGCACTGACTGGCACGGTTAGGCAGCACTGATAGGCAGCACTGATGGTTACTGATAGGCGGCACTGATGCGCACTAATAGGCAGCACTGATAGATGGCACTGACTGGCACTGATAGGTGGCACTGATTGGCAGCACTGATAGGTGGCACTGACTGTCATTGATAGTGATAGCTCATGAGGAGAGAAATGCCGATAACCGGCATTTCTTTATTTACATGTGATCAGCTGTGATTGGACACAGCTGATCACATGGCAGAGCAGACGTCTTCGGCTCTTTCCGTTGATTGGTGATCAGCTGTGTCCGAGGGAAACGGCACACCACCGATCGCCGCGCCATGCGCCCCCAGAGTCACGCACGTGCAGTTAGAGTCACCCCAGAATGAGAGAACCGCCTTGCACCCGTCATTTCCTTATATGGTGGGAGGCGGTTAAAGTGTCCCAAAAAAATATCCTTCTGTGCCAATAATGACCAGAAATAAATTGTCCAACATGTAGTGTGAACCAGTAGTGACCAGTAATATCTTTGACTTCTGTGATACTCCTCCACCACGATGCACTCACCAGAAGTAAAAAACAAATAAATGGAAATGGCTCCTAGGAACGTATCCGTCCACTTCATACCACCAGTCACTAATCCATCAAGGATGAAGTACCTCCTGTGCTGATCTCTGTAGGAGTGTCCTCCTCTATAAATGTCCCCGTTATTCCATCCTCCTCCATAGACTGCTGATCATCCCTCATATACCTCTCTTCTTCTGTTTTAGCCTCAAATTTTATATCAATTGGATCTCCACTCTTCTCTGCTTCCACTTCCAGCAATATCTCCTCTCTACTTCCTCCCACATGGAACTTCCTGCCTGTACCTCTACAGTATATATTATATATGTATTGTTACACCAAACAGAAGGTATACATTTAGGCAGCTGGAGAGTGGTGAATTAGACAATCGGAAAGAGAGCACATCTGGATCATCATTGTCCAATACATCAGTCACTGATTAATTGACACAGGCATTCACAGGGAAAGCGAGACGTATACAAACTCGCCTCCATGCCACCACAGGAAAAGCAGGGGGAACAACAAATACAAGCATTAGAGGTGCCGAACAATGCAATATGAGGAACAGGAGAGACCAACAGAGAACTCAGAAAATATAGTTCATAACAT